AGAGTCGCCCCCAGCAGGAATGCAGGGCAGTGGCAGGGTCCTAAGTGGGAAGGAGTGGGTCCCATCTACTCCCATGACTGAAAGTGGTGAGGGGAACGTAGGGTCTGAGTGAGATGTTAAAACAGAGTAGGTAGCTCCCGTGTCCAAAGGAAAGGCAATGGACTGACCAGATATCTGCAGGGTTACACTAGGCTTGGAGAGGGCGATGGGAGTCACCAAGTCTGGGCCACGTCAATCCTCTGCAAGGTGAGTAGTTTGAAGGCTGGCACTGTCTCACTTGCCGATGTTGGTGAGGCTAGACTTCCACGGCATAGAGGATGAGCCTGCATGGGGACATTGTGATTTCCAGTGTCCAGGTTGCTGGCAGATAGAGTATGGCCTCGTAGGTGGCAGAAGCCCAGGGCAATATCGTGCCAAATGGTCATTTAGGCCACATTTGTCCCAGGCTTCCTGCAAGATTGACTTAGGCCGAGCTCCTGCAGGATGGAGCCTCATGGTTGACTTTCCTTGTGCTCCTCAGGGTCCCGGTGGCCTCAGGGCAGCTGCTAAGGCTTGGGCTTGGAGCATTGCCGCCTGTTGCAGCCTCGTCTGTCAGGAGGACTCAGCTGTCTCTTTTGGAAATTAAAATCTTTAAAGGCCATTTTCACCAGTTCCTGTATGGGGTTTTGGGTTCCTCCTCAGCCCTTTTCAATTGTTTTCTATTATCTGTTGCTGACTGAGAAATGAAATGGGTAGCCAGGACCGTGGCTCCCACTGGGGAGGCTGGGTCCAGTCTAGTATACTGAACCATGATCTCTTGAAATCGGTTTAAAAGAATGGCCTGGTTTTGTCAGCTATCTGTTTGATCTCCCGAAGTTTGTCAAAATTAACTACTTTTTCTGAGACCACCTCCAACCCTGAAGGAGTCAGCGACCATGATGTCCCAACTCTGTTGGCCGTTTTGGCCTGGTTGATAATCCCAGTGTGGTTCTGTGGCTGGCACCACAGCCACTTCCCCCCAGGGACTGTGCTGTCCTAGCTAGGTCTGGTCTGTGTACCGTCCGTCTAGCTGCTGCCTGGATTCTACTCGGCTCTTCAGGAGTGAGGGTAGAGGCCTGGGTGACATAGAAATTATGTCAGGTTAGATAGTAGGCCTGGGACAGATAGCAGAACTCCTTAATATAAACAGAAGGATTAACAGAGAAGGAACCCAACTGCTTTTCTATCTGAGAGAGGTCCGGAAGAGAGAAGGGAACATGGACTTTAATAATGCCATCAGCTCCCCCTACCTCCCTAAGAGGGCAGAGACGGGCAAGGTTATGGTGAGACCTGGTATGAGAGGAGACGGGACAAATGTGGCCTAAATGACAGGTCAGTGTGTAGAAGGGGTCAAAGAGGTGAGTTGTGGCTTGGAGGTGTAGGGAGAGATGGTAGGAGGAAGGGGAGGGGAGGAAGGTGGGTAAGGAGGAGAAAGTTGGCCTTGAACCTCAGGGACGGAGTGGGGGTGGGTGGGTAGGGGGAGGAATGTGGAGAACGTTGCTCCACAGGAGGGTACAGGTAGTTTGGGTTGGGGGAGCAGGGGAGAAGCCAGTGTCTCTGGCAGCATAGTCATGACAGAACTTTCAGGGTCCCAATTCCCAGATGGTCAGAAATCTGGAGGCCCAAATTGGTGTTGCAAGACATTGGCTACTGAGGGAGGGGCGAGAGCACAGCGCCCAGAAACATGGACATATGAGAGTTCAGTCCGTTTATCTCCACAGTGGCAAAAATTTCCGAGGTCCTGGAGGATGGAGTCAAGAATTCCCTCTGGTGGCCATCGTGTCCCACTGTCAAGGTCATACTGAGGACAAATCTTAGTGCACAGAGAAGGCCATTTGGGACAGATGGTTTGGGACAGTCCCAATTTATAAAGATTTTGTAAAAGGCAGCCCAGGGCGATATAGAATCCAACTTTGAATTGCAAAAGCCCATTTAAAAGTCTATGCGAGGGCTGGAGAGATGGCTCAGAGGTTAAGAGCACTGACTGCTATTCCAGAGGTCCTGAGTTCAATTCCCAGCAACCACATGGTGGCGCACAACCATCTATAATCTGGTGCCCTCTTCTGGCCTGCAGCATACATACTGGCAAAACACTACTCATAATTGATAAATAAAATCTTTAAAAAAAAAGTCTATGCGAAATCTTGGGAATCCATCCACGGGGACAGGGCTCTTGATTCAAAAACTGGGGGGGACGCACATGAGAAATGAGTGACAGGCGTCTGTGTCCCCTCAGTCCCACCTCTGTGAGATCTGACTCACTGCTTGAATAAGGCACCTGGCATGATCCTGACTCTCACAGGAAAGCCTAAAAATCGACAAAAATAAATAAATGTAAATGGGTCCTGGGCCCTAGTGGCATGTGCTCAAAAGGGGAACTCACTGTGTCGAAGTTGATCTTAGCCTGGCGAAGAGCTGGCTCAAGAAGGGTGTTTTTCAACACGTGGCCCTAGGCCCGTGGAAAAACAGCTTCCCCCTGTGGGACCTCCAAATGTTAAATAATTTTTTGCCAACAAACCTCTCCACTGACACAAATAATCTCAATCAGACCAAATCAAACTGAATTAAAAGATGACCAGGTTTAATTGGGTGCCTGTGCTCTAAGGTGGTCTCCCCTTTTCCTCTCCGGTAGTTGTTTCGGCTTTCTCCCCTGCCCCACACCCCATGTTTTCCTGGGACCACTTAACAATGGAGAAGAACAGAAAGAATGAACAGTATGTAAAAAACCCTGAGACAAAATGTAGATGAAGAAAAACGGGTTAATTTAAGTTAAACAACAACAACAACAACAACAAAAAAAAACTAGCCAGAAACAAGCATAAACTAAGGCTGAGAATTCACCCCTAATGTCATGATTTGGGAGCTGGTTGGTGGCCCAAAAGAAGGCCTGTTCCATAAAGAGTTAAGTCTTGGTTGAACATTTGATACTTTCAGGACTATGGTGGAACATGTCCAGCAGGTTCAGAGTTGATCCATACTTTGATTTGAAAAATGTTTATCATTGTTTCTTATGTGTTATGTCTGTGCATGGGTATGTGCACCTTTGTGTGGGCGCATGCAGATGTTGGAGGCCTTTGATGACCCTAAAGCTGGGTGTGGGTCCTTTGGAAGAGCGACACATGCTTTTTTTTTTTTTTTAAAGATTTATTTATTTATTTGGCATACAATGTACTGCTGGCAAGGAAGGCACCAGGTCTCACAGATGATTGTGAGCCACCATGTGGTTGCTGGGAATTGAACTCGGGACCTCTGCAAGAGCAGTCAGTGCTCTTACCCTTTGAGCCATCTCTCCAGCCCGTGACACATGCTTTTAACTACTAAGCCATCTCTCCAGCCCAGATATTTTGATTTTGTAATTGTCCATGCTGAGAATGCCAATTTGTATGAATGATTCTGCCCATAGCAGAAGTAAATTTAGGACCATTTCAGAAATTATTGGCAATTTTGTTCTAATCCCAAGCTAAAATTCACTGAATAAATTTTCCTTTTGCTACAGGGTCTATGTAATCCTGGTTGGCCTAAAACTCGCTTGCTATGTAGATCAGGCTGGCCTCAAATTCAGAGACAGGTCTGCTCTGTCTCTTAAGTTCCAGGATTAAAGGCACATGCCGCCAACTGGCCTCGCTGAAAATGAGTTTTTATAAAAATCACGTCAATAACTCAAACAGCTATTTTTTTTAGTAAATTTTATTAAATTATAAAAGTTTCCATTTCCGCCCCCCCTCCCAACACCCTCCCACTCCCCCCACTCCCCCCCTCCTTCCCCTCCGTCCCCCAGGGCAGTCAGGGTTTCCTGCCCCTCAAACAGCTATTTAAAAAAATTTACATTTCTTATTCTGTGTGTGTATGCACAGGTACATGTATGGCACAGTATGCATGTGGAGGTCAGAGGACAACTGTGTGGGTCCTGACCATCATGGCAGGGGACATGACCTGGACACTGGAGCAGTAGCTGAGGGGTCACATCTCGATTTCAAGCACAAGGCAGAGAGAGGGAGCTAACCGCAATCTCTCGCCTGTCCCAGTGACTCACCCTCTCCAAAAAGGCCGTACCTCCCAATCCTTCTCAAACAGGTCCATCAATAGGGCAGAAGTTCAAACTTTGGAGTCTAGGAGTCCCTTGTAATTAAGTTCATTATCTTTATTTCCTTTGTCTCCAGACTTCATTGTTAGCCACCAGGGGGCACCTCTGAGAGCTTCGTCACTTCCTAAATGACAACTGTAGGAACGACCTAAGAGAAAAACTTTCTTGAGTCTATGGTGTCCCTTCCCAGTCTCCTTTTCCTGATTCAGGGGGAGGCAACAGGACGTCCCTGTGTCCCTGTGAGGGTACGAACTGGACATTGTGTCTATTAACATCAGCTGGGCTGACTGGGCAGGGGTTGCTGGCTCAGGCAGCTGGAGCGGCTAAGGCTGGAGGATCTCCATGATTTCCAGACCAGCCCGATCTACATAGCGAGACCGACCATCTTTAAAAAATGTGGGGAGAGGGCTATATCCCAGGCTGGCCTCAATCCCACCTCCACCTTCGGACCACAGGGAGGCTACTCCTAGTAGTGGGTTCTTCCTGCGTTGGGCAGTGTATCTCTGCAGTGTTGCCTCTATGGGGGTGAGTGTTCACGGTTTTACACAGAACACTGCATTGTTCGTTTTTCAACAGTTCACGAGGTTTCCAACACTAAAGTCATTTTGTAGAAAAGAAGCTGTGTCTCAGAGGATTTAAGTGTGTGTGGAGAAACGAAGTCCTCAAGCCCAGTTCTGTGTATCTTAGGGTGTTCAAGTGTAGTCTGGCTGTTCCTCCTCAAGCCTCGCTCAGAAAATCACCCACATCGGACGGGATCTCTCAGGGCCGGGCGGCTTCCTTGGTTCCATTCTCCTGTACCCCAGTGGAGCAAGGGCTCGGTTTGCACGGTGCACTGAACACTAAAGGGTTAAGACCTGGGTGCCGCCCCCTTTCCCGCCGGACTGGCGGGAGTATGAATACCCTCGCTCCAGCTCCCTCCGGGAGTCCTCCACTTCCGCTGGGTCACTGCTGTGGCCACTCTTTCTCTCCCCGAAAAGCTCCGAAGGCCGCTCCCTTCTCCAGTGCTGCACGTCCGCCCACACTCGGTGGATCAGACCAGCGACATGGAGGGTTGTGTCGGGGAGGAATCTTTCCAGCTGTGGGAGCTCAATCGCCGCCTGGAGGCCTACCTGACCCGGGTAAAGACGCTAGAGGAGCAGAACCAGCTGCTCAGCGCGGAACTGGGGGGACTCCGGGCGCAGTCCGGGGATGCCTCCTGGCGGGCCCGAGCCGACGACGAGCTGGCAGCCCTGCGGGTCCTCGTCGATCAGCGCTGGCGGGAGAAGCACGAGGCCGAGGTGCAGCGCGACAACCTGGCTGAAGAGCTGGAGGGCGTGGCAGGCCGGTGCCAGCAGGTGCGGCTCGCCCGGGACCGGACCAGCGAGGAGGTCGCCTGCAGCCGGCGCGCGCTCGAGGCGGAGAAGAGTGCGCAGGGCTGGCTGAGCACCCGGGCTGCAGAGCTGGAGCGCGAGTTAGAGGCTGTGCGAGCTGCACACGAAGAAGAGCGCGCGCACCTGAGCGCGCAGGCTGCCTGTGCGCCACTCCGGCTCGCCGCGCCGCCCCGCAGACCGCCCGCTCAGGCCCCCGAGGTGGAGGAGTTGGCCCGAAGGCTAGGCGAAGCGTGGCGCGGGGCGGTGCGCGACTACCAGGAGCGCGTGGCTCACATGGAGAGCTCCCTGGGCCAAGCTCGCGAGCGACTGGGCCGAGCCATGCAGGGTGCTCGGGAGGGTCGCCTTGAGCTGCTGCAGCTTCAGGCTGAACGCGACGGCCTCCAGGAGCGCAGAGAGGCTCTGGAGCAGAGGTTGGAGGGCCGCTGGCAGGATCGGCTGCAAGCCACTGAAAAGTTCCAGGTGAGGAGGTCACCACCGGAGTAAGACTAAGCTGTATGTAGGAAGTGCTTAAGATGCTAAGAGACTTTCAGGAAGGGAGTGGAGCAAGGGTACTTGTATTCAGGAGCCCCTGCCCAGAACACATAGACCCTAGACTTTCCTGTCCAGGCAGGGAAGATGGAATTCTGAGACCTCCTGGCACAACCCACTTGTAAGGCCTGGAGGGCAAGATCCACTCTTTGAATGGCAACTTCCCTATAGGATGGCTCCATACGCTCTTCCCTATGCTATTGTCAATCAGAAGGTTTCAAACACATGCTCCCTCAGCTCCAGAAGGTTCCTAGCAACCAAGGTGAAAGAAGACGGGGTGAGCCACCACTGACCACCAGGGTCTCTCTCTGTTGTGACTTCTCAGCTGCCTGGAACGCGTCCCAGAGGCCTGGGGCCCCCTCCCCCTCAGACTGCACAGATGTGACCAACAGCTGAGAAAACAGCCTCTTGCCTGGCTCAGACAGAAGTCCCGACAGTGGCCACCTTCCCCCTCCTCTTGGAGGAAAGGGATTCCAGAACACGTGGGAAGTGGAGGAACCAGGCTTGCTCTGAGGAGCTGGGGACAGTGAGGGCCCAACTGCTTTCCTTGCAAGCCTTTCCAAGCCGACTCTTGATAAACTGTTTTTCCTTCTGTTTCCACTTTATCCCCTTTCTAATCCTCTCTGTAACCCATCTCCTCTCCCACGGGAACTGGATTCTCAACATGTGCTACCATTTAGGCAATATTCTCAAGAGAAGCCGAGTCCAGGAGAGGCTTCTGGGGTATCCAGTCTAGTGCTCTGGGCAGGGAGGATGTAGGTAAAGGAACAGGAGTTCCTCTGTCCTAGAGCAGAAAGGAGGAGGGTCAGGGCCTTGAGCGGAGACCCTTCACTCACTCTGGCTTGTTTTGCAGCTGGCTGTGGATGCCCTGGAGCAGGAGAAGCAGGGCCTACAGAGCCAAATTGCTCAGATCCTGGAAGGTGGGCAGCAACTGGCACACCTCAAGATGTCACTTAGTCTGGAGGTGGCTACATACAGGTACACGGATGCACACGTAGCGTTGACTCCTTGCCTGGAGGGCCCTGGAACTTGGCTTTGTCCTTTCTGTGAACCTCAGCTGTTGCTTTATAAAAATATCTATTTCTGTGTATTTGTGTATATTGTATATGCAGCACCGTGCAGGTGTCCTCAGAGGCCAGAGGGCAACATTGGGCCCCCTGGAGCTGGAGTTACAGGTGTTGTGAGCAGCTCCACACTGCTGCTGTGAACTGTCCTCTGCAAGAGAACAGCCCTCAGATTCACTTGTAGTTTTGTTTTACATTTATTTATGTATGTATTTTCTGTGATGGGGCCTCTGAGTCCCAGCGACCAAACAGGTTGTTGTGGAACTTGGCGACCTCAGCTGTCACTTCCACTTGTCACTGAGCCCCCTGCTGCCCCTTCAGCTCAGGACCAGAAGAGGTGGTAATGCTTAAAGGGACAGCTCAGTCTTCAGGGAGGAAACTGGAGGACTCAGGCATCTGCGTCTGACAGGCACTCTCTGCAGTTTCTGTGCACGCATCCGGGGGATACCTGGGCAGTCTCAGAAAAGAGACCTTGCAGGTGGGCCTGTTCATGCTGAGCTGCTGTCTGAGCGAGGCTCAGCTGTGTCCAGGGGAAGTGCTAGCCTCCAAGCCGTCCTTTAAGCCCTAGAGTCCCTGACCCTGCCCAGTTCCTTACCTCACTTTTTTGGTTGCCTCCGAGAGACTGAGCAGAATGGCTCTGTGGGTATAGCCTCCATGTATGTGTCTTGTATGGAAAGACCCCATCTGGGAGCCCCACTGCTGAGGGCTGGGATATCACTCCAGAGTACTAGGCCCGTGGCAGTGTGTCCCACTTTTCCAGAATCGGTAAAGTGGTAGGGCTGAGACAGGTGTAGGAGTGGAGGTGGAAGTGGGCCCAGAGGAGAGCCAGTGAGTATTCAGTACGGCGCGCATAAGGCAGGATGTGTGAAGACAGAACCAGAACCAAGTGCTCTTAGGTCATAGACAGAAAGAGACTAGCTCGGAATTCCTTGTGAATTGATTTTTCCTCCAATCAGTTCCATGGGCCACTGAGGCAAGGGCATGAATGTAAAGACTTCTGCCCTGAAGAGTTTGAAATCCTAAGATGAGGGCCTTAACCCTAGCCAGCCCTCTGAGGGAAGGGTCTAGGCAGCACAGAAAAGGATTTGGAGAGGGGGAGCTGAATTCATTTGCTTTTGTCTGTCACCAGCTTGGGGCAGAGCAGAGGAGGGAGCCATCCCACGGGAACAGCCTGAGAATTCCCACTTCCCTTTAGGAGCCCCCCTTCTCAGGCCCTCCAGATGGTGGTGTGGACAAAAGGCAGTAATTAGCATGAGAATCAGCCTCCCTCCCAGAGGATGAGGTCATCATTCTTGGCCTTGGGTGGGGAGCCGGAGACTGGTCTGAGGAGGTTGATCTAAGCCTTAGCCATTCACTTGGCCCGGTGTCTGACTGTGGGAATCTGCATGTGGGGTCTTCCTGTGACCAAGTCTCTGCTATCTGTCCTGACTGTGTAGCTTTTGTATGATAGTAGAGAGTGAGCCTGCTGTATCAGGTCGTGTCACCTCAGCTGAAACCGACCCCATTCCCTCCTCTCCCCCGCAAGGACACTGCTGGAGGCTGAGAATTCCCGGTTGCAAGCACCTGGCCGAAGTTCCCAGGCTTCCCATGGCTTTCACGGTAAGAGGCAGAGCCAGCTGCTCCTGGAAGCTCTACCTGTTTACTTTGGAAGATCCTTCCTAAGCGGCACCAGTCTAAGTCTTCACTGTGTGACCCCAGCTATGCTGGGTTCCCATCCTCTAGCCAGTGGAGGTCAGACAACAGTGTGAGGGCTGCGCCATGGTGAAGTCAGGACAAACTTAAAATATTTCTTCCTCTGCTTTCCAGACCCTAAGCTGAAGCTGCATTTCCTTGGGACACCAGAGGATCAGCACCTGGGATCTGTGCTCCCTGTCCTCAGTCCAACACCCCTCCCTTCCCCCATGCCCAATACCCTTGAGACACCAGTGACAGCCTTTCTGAAGACCCAGGAATTCCTTCAGGCCCAAACCCCCACCTTGGCCAGCACACCCATCCCACTCACGCCTGAGGCTCCCTGCCCTGCAAAAGCAGAAGTCAGAGGCCAGGATGCCCCTCTTTCTCTGCTCCAAACACAGGGTGGGAGGCAACAGGGTCCAGAGCCTCTCTGGACTGAAGCCACAGTGTCTGTTTCCACCAGTGAGGAGCCTGGGGGCAAGCAGCCCAGCCACTTCCCCAAGGATCTGACCTCCTCAGCCCCACCCCTTAACCCTCATCACCCTGTGTTAGAGACTAAAGATGAAGAATCCAGTGAGTCTAGAGTTTCTAGCATATTCCAGGAAGATGAAGGGCAAATCTGGGAGCTAGTAGAGAAAGAAGCTGCCATGGAGGTAAAGGTAGAGAGCAGCTCGGCACAGGAGACACAAGAAGATGGTCTGGGCACGGGAGAAATCCAGGATTCCCAGGGTCCTTTGCAAAAGGAAACCCTAGAGGCTCCAGAAGAGGAGCCAATGATGTCTCTGAAAATCCAGAGCCATAAGACACCAGGGAAGGAGAATTGCAATTCTCTGAGGTCTATAGACCAGAACCTGGGAACTCTAAAAAGCTCAGAAGAAAAACAAACAGTACTGAAGTCTTTAGAAGAAAAGGATGTAGAGTCAGAGAAAACTCTAGAAAAGGGGCTTCCTGAGCTGTTTAAGCCTTTAGGAAAAGAAGATCCAGGAATTGAAGATGATCAAGAATTAATATCTCCTGAAGGTGCAGTAGAGACAGTTTCATCTATAGGAAAGGAAAATCAAGAAGTAGTGAGATCTTCAGAAGAGGAGAACTTAGAGCCAGCTTTTGAAAAGGAAAGCCAGCATCCACTGGGATGTCCAGAAGAAGAGAACCAGATGGTTGAGAAACTTGTAGAAAAGGAGGGTCAGGAGTCCCTGAGGTCTCTGGAAGAGGAGGACCAGGAACCCTATAGATGTCTAGAGAAAGAGAATGGGGAGCCATTAAAGTCTGTAGAAGAAGAGGACCAGTTGGTTGAGAAGCTGATCGAAAAGGAGGGTCAGGAGTCCCTGAGGTCTCTGGAAGAGGAGGACCAGAGTACTGCGAAGCCTCTAGAAAGAGAGAATCAGGAATCTCTGAGGTCTATTGATGAAATCCAGGAGACCATTATATCACTAAGAAGCAAGAACCAGAAGCAACTGAAATCTCTAGAAGCAGAAGAGGAGCAGAGGATTGTGAAACCTCTAGCAAAAGAAGTGGAGCTCCTGAGGTCTCTCGAAGACAATGACCAGATGACTGGAAGCCTGCTACAGAACGAGACTCAGGAGTCTCTGGGGTCTCCTAAAGA